AACTTCATTTTTAACAAGAACTTAAAGCAGCTCAGAAAATTTAGAAGTTGATTGAAAGGGTGAGTGTTTTTTCCTTCTACTTCATACAATGTATTTATTACAACAGTTTTGTATTTATAGTACACAAAATTGGTTATGACTTCAGTAGCAATGACCAAGGCTGGAATCACTCCAGCAGGGTCCATTCATCCTGTGTCTCAGGTTGAGCTAGTGCTTTGTGAATCAGCCTGGAAACTTCCTGTGTAAACTGCCTCTGTTTTCCTCTGGGGTCCTGGTTATTTTATCTTCAAGGCGGTACAAAGCATCTCATAACATAGAACCAAGAGTGTCCCATCACAATTCATAATGTCGGTCTGTGGCCCTACCACCCACTCTGTAAAGACTTACTTTTTTATATGTTGGTGGATGGGTGATTTGTTGTTTATTTCATTCCTTTTGCATTTTTATAGAGCTCCTCTGTGCATGGCTGGAAATAAGTACAGAATGTCTCATCCTTGGGCGTCCCTTGTAAATTGGTACAGATTCCTTTAGCTTCTGGGGTTGCAACTTGCCCTTATTAAAACTGCCTTGGATTATTGGTTGAGTTGGTGTTTTTTCTTTAAAAAAAATGAGATTATGATTCAGACCCTCTGTGTCTCCTCTTTCCAGGGTCTCATATGGAGATTAAGGTCACTTGCTATGATTTGTCTATTTTTTCTACAGAAGATCTCATTTTTAGAGTTGAAACTTCAGGTATTTCAGATTTTTGTTGAAGAATCTCAGTACCATAGCAAGGTTTTTGATGTAGTTTATGCTTTCAGCCTAATTTTTTGCCTTGCAGAAATGAACATTTTAATTAACATGTAATAATCTCAAGCAGAGACATTTTCTAAAAAAAATCTTTCAAGAAAAAAAAGTCAGATCTCAGACATATCAAAGCAGCAAACCAACTTTTGCATCAGAGAGGAAATCATTAATTGCTTCAAGCAAAATATCTGAATGACCGATTTCAATATCAATGTCAATATTTTAATATCCTTACTACAGGGATTTCTTTTTAAGTCTTCAGAGTAGCCCTTGACTTCACCCTACACTGAGTTGCAAAAATCATAGTACGTAGTTTGAGCAGTAATCATTTTCTCATTAATTGTCAGGTTACTCAGAACATCTGGAGGTTTAGTCACTGACTCCACGAATCTCCACTGCCATCTTCCTAAATTTGGTCTCGGGTGATAGAAACCAGGAGTAGTCTATAGTACTACCATGTATATAGATATGTATATATAGATGTATATACATCACCTGGGGATTGTGTCAAATACAAATGCTCATTCTGTAGGTCTGGGGTGGGGCCCGAGAGTCTGCATTTCTAACAAGCACCCTGTAATGCTACTGGTCAATCTGGACCACTTGTTCAGGACCAACAATCTCTAAAACTATGTATGGGCCACAGCCTGAGTTCAGGAACTTCCTGATATTAAAAGAAGAAGAAATAGAGGAGCTCAATGAGGAGAAGTGAGAAGAAAACTAGGGGTAAGAATAAGGTAATGAGTGAAAGGAAAAAGAAAGACTCTTGAGGGACAATGAGACATTTCCCCTAGACTAACATTGGGGTGCCTGCATGTAACATTGGACGGGAAAGGAGGAGGGCAGGGAATCTGACTTTTAGTGAATGTCTTCTGTGCAAACTGCAGTCTGATAATATTGCTATATGTTTATGGATGGATGGATAGCTAGATCGATTGATAGATATGGAATATACTGTAAATATCTGGATATACAGAGAGATGTGTGCTTATATGGAGAATGGATGGATGGATGGACAGATAGACAGACGGATAGATGAGGTTCTGCTTTGTTCCAAACAGGTTTGAAGAGGGAGCTGTACTAGGTGCTCCCATATGCATATACTGCTTCAATCCTCATGACCAACTTTTAAAAATATATACAGAGAGAGGTGATAAAGCTGAGGCTTAGGGTAATTAAAAACAAAAACAAAACCAAAAAGCAGCTCCAGGACTATTCGACTTCAGAGCTCGGAAATCCATGCTTTGACCAGTCCCAGAGCTGGACACAAGTAAGAGAGGCAGGGGCATAAAGAGCAGTATTGGAGCCTGGGGTAAGAGTGCACAGGGAGAAGAAATTAGAGAAGAGGATGTGGCAGACATGTGGATAGGTCCAGGAAGATGGGGAAAGGAAAATGCAGGACTTGCCAGGGCCTTGGTCCAAGTGGATAATTCCAGTCCTGGTAGCAATTAAGAAGTGACCCATTTGGCAAAGCCTGCCCCTCTGCAGAGGGGTGGTTGCCACTCTCTTTCCTGCCAACACTGTTTCCATAATCTTTCTGGCCCTGGCTAGACTAGCCTGTTTCTGCCCAGCATGGATGACTCAGTTTTCACCTTTCCTAAACTACCAATGCAGCAAAGAGGTGGTCTGCAGGACTCTACGTGGGAGAGACTGTGTAACAAAAACTTGGGGCCCTTAGCAGCACCTACCCCCACCCCCACTGGGACTCTGAGTCAATGGTACTCCAGGTTCAGAGTCTTCCTCCTCTTCTGGATCTGCTTTTGGCTCCATAGATCCTTTTGAACCTCCTTCTCTGAGATGATTCATTGAAAAAATCCTCCAGTTACTTCCCTAGATGAAGCAGTTTTCTCAGAGACCGTCAATTAAACATAAGGAAATTAGGGCAGGGACAAGGCCTTACAACCCACCTAAAATTGGGGGAGGGGAAATTATGGTACATATTAGAAGAGGAGAAAAAGAAGTTTATATTCACTCACCTTCGGCCTCATCTTGTACCATTTGTCCTCTCTACCTTGCCTTGCAAGGTGTCTTGTACACAGTCAACCCTCAATACACATTTTTTGAATAAATGAGTTGATTAATAAATACATCAGAAAGAAAAAAGGATAAATTTAAAAATATAAAATCATAAGAACCTTGTTTTATTTTGAAATTTTCCTACCGGGTCAAGTAAGAAAACTGTTATGGATCTGATGGCTTGATAAATGTGCTTACTTTTGGCGTTGACTTTGGAGCCAGAAGAGTTGCTTGGGAGAATCAAGATGGAGGAGGAGGTATGGAGAGACTCTGCTTTCCAAACCCTGTACCTCGCATGTCAAGGAGAGACGGTGGCTGTGCTGAGGCTACTGTACCTTCAATCAGACAATGTACACCTCCATCCTTGCACAGCAGCTGGCACAAAAAAGATGCTCAATAAACATTCACTGAATTAATGAATAAAAGTGATATACTTACTCTATCATATGTCCTTCAAGCTGCAAGTAACCCTTAATGCTGCCCGGAGGATTGCTTTTGCCTGTGTTTAGCTGAACGTTTTGATCAAGGGAAAGTCAACCTGTCCTTTGTCTAAGATTAGGCCTCGTCATGTTATTTTAGGCCTAACTATCCCAAGTCCAGTTTAGAAGAGGCCAATTTATAATTCTAATTCATAAGTATTCCCCTGAACATTCATGAAGACTATTTTCTTTTGAAGTCACTAGAGTCCTCATTTCTTAAATCTAATGTAATTGCTGGAAGAGGAGCTTGTTCAAGAAGGAACAAAGAACTGAGCTATAGTTTAATATGGGTGGGAATGCCAATATGTTTTTGTGCATTTTCTGCTGGGGCTCGCTTGACTCCAAGGGCAGACAATGGGGTAAGCACTTGCATGAAAAAGTGAACAGTTTACCTCACTGGACTGAAAAAAGGTACCCAAGCTCACGGGGCCCAGGAGCTTGGCAAGGGTAGTCTGGCAGAATTTTGACACTCTCTTTTGGGATTAGATTATGCGGAACTGGAGAACCCCTTTCTGGCATATGAAAAAATGTAATTGTCTGGTAGTTCCTTGAAACTCAGTAAGAGTTTTATTTATTCAGCCCAGGGACGGCAAATTACCTTGGCTTGTGTGACAGGACAATATATTGATAATGGCTGCTGGAAACCTCTAATGAGAAAAATTCTGAGATCATATTTGGGCTCATTAAGAAAGAGTTGTCATTTATGCTTCAATTTAAAAAAGAAAGAAAGAAAGAAAGTGTTGTCATAAGTTGGCAATGTCAGCTAAGATTTTTGGAATGGGGATTGGTGGCATGCCCCATATTTAATATCCTTTCTTTAAAGATTTTTTTCTCCTTTTTTTTTTTTTGGTCTTGTAGAAATCTAAGTAATTATATCCAAAAATTCATTTAATTGTCCCATAAGCTCTGTGAGATAAGTACTGTTATAATCTTCATTTTGTTTTCAGATGAAGAAACTAAAGGTACAAACATATTATTTCCCCAAGTATTAGTGCTACACATGCCCACCTAACTTCAGGGCCCAGGCTTTTAACAAACATGTCATTTTCCCTTAGAATTCTGGAGTGCTGATATTTAAGGTTGTTATCACCCTATAGCAAATGAGTTTCTCTAGGTTGTCTTACCTAAGATGGGAAAATACAAAAGATTAATAAGGTCAACAGGGCTAAAGACAAAAGACCAAGATTAATTCCTAGTCTAAATATTGAAAACATGGCTTAGTATATAACTATTCCAATCAAGGAAATATGGATTATTTCTGGATCATTCTAAGGATGGAACACATCTATAGAATACATCTATACCATTTTTACCTTGAGCTCCAACCCAAGTAGAAGAACTATTCTTAGATGAGAATTTTCACCCCTTGCAATTTTTCATTCTAAAAGCAAGATGTTAATCATGATGTCCTAATGATATTCTAAATGTAGGTAATTATACTTTGTTTTCCTTAAACACTTAAAGTGTTCTTTTAATGGAATGATCTCACTATTTATGGAAACACATTATTATCGCTTTCCCCAAGTATTTGTTTCTGTAATTAACTGTTAAAATCATTTGTAAATACACAAGTTACAGTGTTTATGTAAAAACAGTTTAGATTTTACCCAAAGGCAGGAAAAATGCAAAACGAAACAAAAAAATCTTCAAATATTCTTAGCTGGTGTTAGAAATGTCCGAATAGAGTTTGACTTTTTGCCTGTTCTCTTTCTTTTACAGAAAAATCTGTCATTGCTCAACCAATATTCATTTTTGCAAAGAGAGAACAAACTTTTAAGGTAAGATCAAGCTAATTTTCTTTGTTTGACTTTTACTTTGACAAAGAAAATGATGTTTCAAGAAGCTAGTGATGCTGAATGATATCATGGTTGCCTTAGTTCATCCTCTTGCTCTTCATGTAGCAGAGCAGGGCCTCTAGAATATTTATATAGTAGGTTTTTACTGGCAGCAATTTGGCCTAAGTGGGAGGCCAGAGGCCTGCCTTGTCTTGAAGCTATGAATAACATGCCATCTTTACCAAAATTATAGGGTTTATTTGGAGTGACTCGGAAAGGGGCGGGACTTAAAGAGGTTAGCAGGGTCGAGACTCCTCCTGGGTCTCCACCACTGACCTTGCTTAAAACCGGGGATAAAATAGGTTCTAAACTTCGGTGCTTGATTCAAAAGGGATCTTAAGGACCCCATCTGCATCATACTTTAGTACCACCTGCTTTGAAAGACCAACGATAAGATTAATAGCTTTCCCACTTTAGCTTGATTCGTATTTTCCTGTTATTTGTTCCCACTTAATGCGAGTCATTTACCCTACTACCCACAAAACTCACTACAGAAGCTCAAACCCCAAGCCCTGGTTGAAAAGTCAGTTTCCTGGGCCCCACCCCAGGCCAACTGCTTCAGATCTTGAGAGCTCGGTTTCAAAATCTGACAAGGGATTCTGCAGTCACTGAAATACAAAACCGCTAAGACTAAGACTTTGCTTTGTCTTGAACATATGCCTAGGAGTAAAGGAGTAGAGGTGAGTGGCTTTGTCCTGGCCTAGCTGAATAGACCTGGCTTCTGAGAATTCTCTTCTAAAGTGACAGGGTAGAACTCTTGACGTAAAAACAGCACTCAGCTCTCATCTGCAGCTTTGTTTCCTTCCAGAGACCTGCAGAAGACACCGCATATGAAGCAGCAGAGCATGGTAATGACTTACATCCTGTATTTCAAAACCAATCTTCAGACAAGGAAAATAAGCAGGCACAAATATTTTGGCATGTGGCAAGAACTGGGTAAAAACTTCATGGTTTTGCTTGTGTTTAAACACCAAAATAAACTGGCTTTTGTTTTGAAAGATGACACGTAGGTCCCAAGAACACTGACGTTAGCAAAGCTAAGGTCCCTTCTTTCTACATTGCCTGGGTCTCAACCCACCAAACACGTTCTCTACACAATCTCAAAAGTCATATGCAGTTTCTTGCCGAAGCCACTTGTTTCTAAGTGTTTCTTAGAGGATGATATGCCTATCGCTTTATAATCACCAAGCTATTAACCCCAGCATTTAAACTTGGGCTTCAGGAGTTAACATGTTAGCAGATGATGATCTGTGTAGGCAAAAGGTAATTCTATTTATTCTTCCATATCTTGGGTTGAGGATAATTTGTTATTGCCAGCAATTTTACCTGTCATGTTGAATTTCTTGCAGAATGCAATGGTTTTCTAAGAAAGCGTGTACGGTCTTCATCTTTTACTTTGCATACTACAGACCCTCAGTCCCAAGGAGGTAGGTATAGACCTGACTGTTGGCTGTTCACTGTTATGTTTTCTCTGAGTGTGAAATTACTGAGAAACTTTTCAAATGGAAATGTTTAAAAGTCTACCCGTCGGAGAGTGTTTATAATAAATTATTGTATGAAAATAGCAGTCTATAAGATGGATTGTACAGTGAGTCACTATTTAAAAATTCAATTTATCAACATTGGATGAAAGATGGAAAGGACATCAGCCATAATGTCAGCAATGGTTATCTTAGGTAATGGGATTACAAGCAATTTGGGGTTTCCCACCCACTCCGCATTTTGTCATGTTTCCAAAGTGTCTGCATTAAGGATGCATTAGCTTTGTAATTAGGGGAAACTGACATTTCTCCCTAAGTTACCATCTACTTAAACAGATAGATGTCTGCCTTGAAAAGAACACTTTAAGAACATTATATACTGTATTCTGAGTAAACCAGTAACTCAGTTTGCCTCTCTTCTACACTCAAAGCACTCCGTGATTCCTTTTATACATGACCGCATTGTCCTCTGCCTTGTAAGAAAGCTACTTCTGTGTATGTCTGTCTCCTTCACTGTGCCTTCCTTGAGGTCATCTTCATGTCTGATAGAGTGTCTTACACATGGTGAGCAGTCCAATATTTATTGAATCGAATAGAAATTAATTTATAATTCTCACCACAAGCACATTTTATTTCTATTGATTAAAAAAATACAAAAGCTTTTCTAAATTAGTGATATAGAAATTTTTCTGAAACAGCAAAAGTCCAAATCAAAAGAAACACAAACACCCACTTCCTCACTGACTTCAGTTTGCAATTTGCTTCTAGCATCAACCTTGTCCCAGAATCGAATGAGATCATCATCCTTCACCAACCTCCTGACCTTCCCCCCTTCTGGGCCAGGTAATAAACAGCTTCCAGAACCTCAAGCCTGACACTCTGACTTTTCAAAATTCATTCTCATTGATGGTGTGCTTTCTTACTCAGTTTCTATAAAATGCTGGCATTTTAGTGGCAAATAAAATAGAGGCAAAGTATGATTAGAAGAATGCCTTATGAATTCCAACTCCACAAATCCAGACAGTGCATGTGTTTATTTTTGGCAGAAAATTTGAATTTGATGATGTTTTTAAGGAATTCATGTTTATGATAGCAATATGTTATATAAGGCAGCTCCATAAGATAACTTGCTTTATTTTACTCATTATTATTCATCTGTACAGTTTATAATATATGCAGTACTCAAAATATACAGCTATACTTTATTTTTTTAAAGATTTTATTTATTTATTTGACAGAGAGAGACACAGCGAGAGAGGGAACACAAGCAGGGGGAGCAGGAGAGGGAGAAGCAGGCTTCCGGCAGAGCAGGGAGCCCGATGTGGGGCTCGATCCCAGGACCCTGGGATCATGACCTGAGCCGAAGGCAGACAATTAATGACTGAGCCACCCAGGTGCCCCTACAGCTATATTTTAAATTCTTATTCTAAAGTTTATGCTTTAAGTGAATATTCTAAGGTTTAACATATGATTCCTTTTATTTTCATTTATTTTTTTAGAATATGATTACTTAACCTTTTCACTAAAACATTACTTCTTTTTATTTGAAATTTATAGTGCTTTGTTAAGTAAATCTATCTTATCATAAAATATTTGAAATGATTGGAACATTACATTAAAATTACAATTTTATATTCTTTTTGTTTTTGTTTCTACTGAACAACCAGCTGCCTTTTCCAAGTTAAGCTTGCCACTAAGAAATAAAAAATACAAACTATTCACTTCTTTTTAAATGGTCCCTCTCTACCTGGGAGCCATAGGGTCTTCAAACTAATGAATTTATATTCTTATTAATAATTCCAAATGTGACTGAGGAACATATATGTCAGATAACTTTCAGATACAGAACAAACACTTTCCAGCTCAATAGACCCCCTTTAAACTTGACTGACAAGTTACAGACATTAAGAGGAATAGGGTCCCTAACCCTAGAGAATTTGTTTTACTGTATTTGTGCATAAAGTAAAGGGATGGATGTAAGTTATCTGAATAACTGCTTAGATTATTATTTTAAATTAGACACACACATACACAAACAGATTAAATAAAGGAACATTGATATCAGTAAGTACCATCCCATTGTATGTTGTGTGGAATGTTGGTGGTATTGGAATGGAGAAAAATAGTACAATTTGATATGGCCCATTTGTTACTGGTTTTTAATAATAAGGATCATAAAGCATTTAATTGAACTTTGAATTAGAGAAGCAATTCTACCCCAACATTTATAATATGTTTTAATACTTAAAAGAAGCAGTTCTTATTCTTTTCTCATTTCCATTAATCAAATGCTCAAAGGTTGCTGTTCCTGCAATTTGCAGCCAAGAGGTGGGTGATCTCTTTGAAATGTATAATAATCCTATACTTGCAGCAACCACCATAGTCTTACGCCACCAACACACTTGATAGAAAACTCCCCTAGCATGACAGTCATCTCTCTCTAGGTATCACTAGATTGGGGAAAGTGGCAGAATTTGCTAATAGTTTCATAACATTTTATAAGAAATACCTATTAATGCACACGGAGGGTTCACTACCATCAGATTTTATAATATGTATTCATTTCAGTACTCATTTTCGCGATTCTAAAAAAAAGTGCCTGTTCCATTAGTGGACCAATTTTCATTTACGTTTCTGAAAGTAAACCGAACTATGTGGCAAAACTCACTGCCATCACCCTTTTTTAGCGCAGCGCACTGCCTACAGTTTTTAGTGCCAACAGCGACATCTACTGGTAAGTTTAGTACAGGACCGTTAAAACCCGGATTCTGTAGAAACTCTTAGATTTAAAATGTGCTAAATATTTTTTCTTACAGTGAAGAAAAACAATGTTTTTATGATATCAACTCTTGTGCAAAGGAATGTGGATATGAACAGTACAGATCAAGGTATGTAGTTTATTACAAGAGCCTCTGAAATTTTACATTTTACATTTATATTTTAATTTGTTGGGTGTGTGTGTTGGGGTCTGGAGGTAGGGCCGAGTGACAAAACGTGAAAAAACAAATTTGGTAAGCCAAGTCCCATGGCCAAAATGAATAGGTATTGGGTAAAAGCTAGGGCAGTAGTAAGCATTAAGACATTCACTGGCTATTTTGACATTGATCAGTTAACATTAATCCCTCATTTAATGATGACTTTAGAAAACAAACATTAAATTAGTAAAAAATATGGAGGAAGCAGTATTTCACTAAAGATATATTGACTCTTTAATTCTGTTCTTTTAAGGTCCTGTGAAACATTCTGAACATGTCCTAAGACCTGCTATTTTGCAGCCACCTCAAGCTCAAAGGTGTGAAAAAGTAAGAAAAACATTTGGACACAATACCTTGGAATCCTGCAAGACTAAGGAAAAAACAAAAAATAAGGTAAGAAAACCTCCTTTGGTGGGATTGACATCAAGTCTCCATCTTTCATTTAGTAGATTATTGTGGGCTCTACATTCAGAGTTAGGGGCTGCCTGACCTTTGTTCTGTTGCTGAAGCAGACTGTAGGTAGCAAACAGCCCTCGGTGACCTAATTAAAGTTGTCCTCTTAAATGGGAGAGTTGTTCCTAGGAACTAGTTTTGTGGTTTCTCCTAAGCTGTAAAGTTGAGGCCCTTTTGGTAGAAACCTCTGGGCTCTTGTTCTAGTGCACTGACCCCACATGAGAACAGGGGGAGCAATGAGATGGCCAGGACCAGGAGCCACGAGTCAAACAAGGAACAGAAGTTTTCTGCATCCCCAGCTGGTCGACATCCCAGTGTGGCTTTGCCAGTTTAGGTCACACCAGGGATCCATCCAGACCCACCTTCATGGACAACGGGAGCAGAGGACTACCTGCTTGGAGTTGGGAATTGGGAGGACTGGGGAAGCTTCTGAAGACAGAGAAGAAGTCTCCCTTCCAGTGGTTGTGGGGGGCTGAATCCCTCACTGTGGGCCTTTCTAGGGAGATTGATTGGCATTTTGCTCAAGCCATGCAGATATGGGTTTGGGGATATTCTGTTGCCGTGTCTTCCGGAAGCCAATACTTGAGAGGAATGGCACCCAAGATTTTCAGAGTAATTCCATCCTTCATTTGTTTCCAGCTGAACTGTCGAGGGTTGGTCACCTGTTTTGTTTTGTTTTTCCATACTGAACATGAAGACAGCGACACATGGAAATTAAAAATACCAGTCATTTCATCAATGCAATGAAAAAAAAATCAGATTGGTACTAATCCTACCTCTGCCCCTATCTAACTTAGGTTTACATTCTTGGACAAAACACCCAATCTTCTCGTTTTAACAGTGAAGTGAGAGAGTTGAACTTGGTCAGCATTTGACAACATTTTTGTAATTCCAAATATTTTTCTTTGTAAGATACGATCTCATGAGACTCATTATGAATTTTAAAAATCATTTCATTATTTCTGCATGGTATATGGTGTGATTTTTAAGTAAAAAATATTTTAAATTTCAAATCAGCATATTAAACATTTTTGTTTAAATATAACCTAATAATCATAACCATATTATATAACTTCTCACTTTTATCCATTTAATAAGTGATGCATGTTGTTTAGTGTTAAGGTATGTAAGAAAAAGTATGGATGTGTTGACTAATTTCTAAAATGTTATTATGTTGCACATGATTTTGGAACAGGATGTACTATAAATTATAGATTAAATTTTTTGTTACATGTTATGATATAAAAAGTAAATCAATATTTCTTCTTTGGCATGGCTTATTGGAATATTGCATTATGTATTTTTAAAATAAAATTTATTAATATTTTCCTTTAATTTTCCTTCTAAATGATAAAGAATAAGAGAAATTTTCAGGTAATTGTTTGTAAGCATTTCTTCTTGAATAAATCTATCAAACATATGAATGGTACTTTTTCCTATTTAGTGAACAGCTTAACTGTATGTGCCCATTATTGAATTTTCTCTAACAATGACCTTTGAAGATTTAAAGACATACTATACAAAATGCAATGTAAGGACTCTGACAAAATAATGAAATTTATAGATCTAGGGAAAATTATCTCTAGATGAATAATAGTTCATAGAACTATTATTTTCATGTTCCTTAATGACTTGTATATAAAATCAGCAATTTTTATTCACTGTCATTAATCAACGGTCACTTATTATGTACAATTTAAATAATACATGCCTAATAGAAACTGTTTTAAGTACAAAGGAGTAAAAACTACCATTTTGGCTAAGAGATAAATCATCTGAGTGAATCATGAGCATGCGCTTTGATCTCTGCTAACCAACAACATATATTCTCTTCATACATACTTCTCAGCTCTCAAATTCTGTTATAAAGGGAAAAATGCTCAAAATTATTTATATTGATTGGTATAAAATTAAAGTGGAAACAGACCCCAACTACCTTTAAAGATATGAACTCCTTGCAACATCTTTGCAAACCCCTGCTGGGGGAAGGGAGGAGTTCATAAAACATTGGAGATACTAGATCCGATCATTCATAGGGCTCCTTCCAGTTCTAAAATTGCTCACGTCTTCATTTATACATTAATTAGGTAATGTACATTTGCATATACATCAGACAGAGTAACTAGTTGATTAAGTTACCAGTCAAAAATTTTTAGATGAAGAGATGAATGGGATTTCCTCTAATGTTTAATGACCATGCTGGTGAAGCTCTTAGGGTATTTTTGGGATTAAATAGTCCTGAAGGATATATCTGTGAAGTTAAATATGAGAATTAACTCCATGTGGCTAAAAAGATAAAAGTAACAAAAGGAGGTAGGATTTCTGAATATGATGGCAAAGCGTATAGTCCCTGATGTCAGACAAACCCTGGCCCTGAGGTCAGCCCCATTCCTGGTTGCCCACACCTGGCCAAGTTATTTATACTCATTAGGTCAGTTTACTCATCTGTAAACTATAAAATTTGGATGACAGACATACAACCTATATAGAGATGTTGTGAGGAGTAAATGAGATAATATACACAAAATGCTTGGGGTAGTGCTTGAACATAGTAACTTTTCAACACATTTAACTGTAAGTATGTTTCCTTGTCTGATGCTCCTCCCTTAAGGCAATTGAAAGGAACTTTCTGATGAATTGCCTTTCTTTCAGATTTCTGTGGGGAACTCTTCTTTGCTAAGTGAAAATTTATCAAGTGCCAGAATTTCAGTCCAGCTGACTACTAACCAGAATTGTTTAGGTGCTACATCAGTAGGGTAAGTTAATGATGAGGACACAGAAAAGATATCCTTTTATTCTTGCTTTCTTTTATCATTATAATCGTTTATGGAAAATAGCTTTCTGATACTGCACAGGTGAATTGCTAAGACTTCTTTTTTTTAAGATCTTATTTATTTATCTGAGAGAGAGAACATGAGCTGGGGGAGTGGCAGATGGAGAGGGAGAGGCAGACTCCCCACTGAGCAAGGAGCCCGATGTGGGGCTTGAACCCAAGGCCCTAGGATCATGACCTGAGCCGAAGGCAGACGCTTAACTGACTGAGCCACCCAGGCGCCCCAAATTGCTAAGGTTTCTATTTGAGATTTTATAAAGGACACAAGTTTACAATGTTTTTCAAAATGTCTCTAATATTTAAAGATTATCATATTAGTATTGGATTATCTCCATTGCTTTGTTGACTTGGGTGAGAATATTTCAAAAACATCCAACTAAATTTTTATTTAGTTAGGAATTAATTGTCTGGCTGATAGATTAGCCTCCCCCTTCTGTGGTGTTCTTCTCCCCGCCCCCCGCCACTGCCGTTTTTCATTATTTTGGGTGTTATTCCTTATTTATTGATATACATTGGATAGACAACAAAGAAAACAGTATAAATGTACAAAATGAAAGTTAGGATTTACCGCTATCACCAGCAAAGAAGGCATGTTTGATCTGAGGGAAGATTAAACTGAGCCACAGATATGACCAGACTCACATGATGAGGGCCCGTGTGAGTACCCCAGCACTTACCGACGGTGCACACTGGAGGTACAGTGGGGACCCCAGGCACATTGGCCTACAGATAGACAGCTGCGTATCTTTGTTCTCATCATGCAAAACACTTTTAGCAACAACAGCAACAAAGTTCCAGGATGAAAAAAACCCAATTAAACAGAAGCCCACTCAAGTATAACTGACAAGATAGATTGGCCGTGCTTTTGCCCTGGGGACCTCTGGTGGCTGGGAGCATTGGCCACTTGCGGAAGAGAACAGAAGAAATGAGAGACTGGAGAGGCTGTGCTGGAAAGGCAGGAAGATAAAGTCTGGGACAGCCCCTGGTCGATCACGCAGCCTGAACAGTGATAGGCATGACATGTGTTTGGACTGGTCTCCATGTGTGCTGTCACAGCTGTCAGATATTTTAAATATCATCCCCGCGAGTACCTCAATTTTTCCTTCATTTCTCAGTAGCTGCAGATGAACAAGAGTTAGCAGATATTTTTATGCTTTACATAAATCTGTTAAATCATCTGATTATTTCATGTGCTAAGATCTATCATGGCTTTATCCATATATTTCAAATAGCAAATGTTCATTTCTTTTCCCTAGATGTCAACCAAATGAAGATAAGTATTCTTTTAAAAGCTGCAGTTCTGATTTCGTGTTCGGAGAAAACATGGTAGAAAGAGTTTTGGTAAGAATTTTGGCATTATAAAGAATTATAAAAGCTGTCACTTTGAGTTTCTGGAGCCATATTCATTAAAACAATGTTAAATTGGGGCATACTTTAACTCCTGAGTTCGAAGGCACATTTTCTTTCTTTAACCAGAAAGATTCTCCTGGGAAGCAAGTTCTAGTTGTTAGAATAATAGGCAGGAACCCAAGAGGAAGGGAATTGTATAATTATAACATTATTACTGATGAGAAATATCAAATAGTTCTTTGACGTGTGTTACACCCAAGGTACCCAAGGAAATCCCGGAATTATCTGCAATAGATGAGCTTAACTGGTAATGATATTTTAATATCAGGTTTTCAATAGCATCTTTCATAACAAGATGCACTTAAAATCATTTGCCAATTTTTTCTTGTTAACCACAACCCTCCCCTTCAAGCTTTTTAGTGAAAAACATTATCATAACTTTTTTTTTTTTTTGCAGGCTTTAAGAGGAAAATCATAGTACTTTACTTGCCTAGGGAAACATACTTGCCAAGTGAAAACCCCTAAGGACCTTTACCAGCATCCCTATTTAATCTTGGGCGTCCTCCTCCATGAGGTGCTTGCCCCTGTGCCCTCCGCAGCTAGCATGCATTAGGACTGCTAGTTACATCAAGGATCCAGAGGAGGCTACACAGATTTTAAAACCTGCATAGAGGCTCAGAATAACAAAGGACCAACTCATGAGGTCTGTCTATTCCAAGTTTTTTAGGGCTTTCACAAATCAATCCCTTTTAAGACTTGGTTTATTCTACACCCCCCTCAGGCTAAACCCAAATTCCAAGAGTAGTGTCATAGCTTTTTGGCTTAGGGGTACCCTCTGTCACTCTCAAGATGAAGGGTAACTCCACAGTTCTAGAGCTGTTGATCCACATCTTTGGATCTGAACCAGAATGGACCAACTTCCAGAGTGAAGTTCTAGGCGATACATTTAGGCACATTTCTTCCATATTGTTTAGTCCTAAATTTGGCACTAGATTAACCACAGCTTCTGTAAGATGTCACAGACACAAAATACTTTCCAAGCCTCACAGGATCAAATTTAATATCCAATTCAACTTAACAAACATGTTTTGTGTTCTTATGATGTCTAAAGCTCCGACATTGGTCTCAAGTTTGGCGGCATATTAACAATCATCTCGTGAATCTCTAAAGGATTTAGTATGCCTGGGCATTTCCCCAAACCAATTAGATCAGAGTCTGTGTGGGTGAGGCTAGGTGTCAGGTGATTTGAATGTACAGCCAGGATTGAAAAACACCTGGGTGAGTGGTTATGCAAAGCAAAAGGGAGACACTGTGCTCTAGAGGTGCTTATAATCTAAGGGGAGACAGAGACATGCCTGAGCAAATGAACTACAGTTGGGATTAGAAATTTGCTTTGAGGAGGTACCCGTATACATTTCCTGTGGGCACTTCCAATCTGGCTTGCAAAGGAAAACTGAGCTTCCTGTCTCTTTAAGATGATAACATCCTAGGATAGCAGGAGCTGTAGTGATCACTTGTATGTGTCCTCTGCTTAATCCTATAATCCCGTGACCTTGTGATCTGGGGGTCAGAATGCCCTCCTGACTCGTTTGCTGACCATGCACTGTTCCAGAGAGTCATGAAACTTTCTGTGCCTTTCTGTTTATTTTCTTAAAATGGAAATAATCACACTCATCTCTACCAATTTTAGCAGAATATCTTAGAATATCCAGTTAAATAATGTGGAAGAGTTTTGAGTTCATAAAGGAAAAGACAGAAACCCAAGTTCTGAAGTACTGTTTAATTCCCTCTGTTCTGCGGGGGAATCTCCGGGATCATAAATGGCCGGGCAGTTACTCACTCTTTCTTCACAGGCCTTGGTTACAGCACCTGTGCAGGGCCCCAGGTGTGCTGCCTTAAAAGCGATTTTTGGCAGAAATTGTCTTAGAGGAAAAATTAAGATGAGCTCTGAGACAGTGAGTGGGTTCTCTGGGTAACTTGTATGATTATTTTGGATAGAGAGCGAGGCACTCGGAATACCGAAATGCCTTGAAACAGAGATGAGAGTGGCCTCTCCTTCGAGGCGTCAGGGTGGTCTGGTGGTAGCAGGGAACAGCTGCTACCTCCTTTCGGGTCTCTAAACCTTCTCGCCTTGTCCCTGGAATGAGATCCCCCCTGAAGTAGGCTGGTGGTAACCAGACTATGCTTCCTCAGAATCAGGACCAAGGTCCTGTGATGTGATAGGAAGGATTTCCCCGTAGAGCACACTGGGAACCCAAAACAAAAACATCGCAGTAGAGTTTGCCGTGTTGAACTAGACGAAAGAAAGGTAACTTTGGCTTGCTGCAAATATATAGGGATAAAATTCTGTAATATATCTTTTTCCCTCACCCAGGATATTCAACATCTCACCCAACCTCAACTCGAAAATGACTCAAACACCAGGGAAAAACCGTTCAAATCCACTCTAGAATTTCCTGTCAACTCTCCAAATTCAAGTAAGAATTTTGTCATTTGTAAAAAAAAAAAAAAAAAAAAAAAGATTCAACTAGTGTATTTCTTGTTTTCCCATGTCATTTGTTTAATAGCTATAAAATACACAAAAAAAATAACAGTGCTTTAAAACTTTTTGGTAAAGCTTAAAGCATACAAATATGGTTGTATGATACATAAGCTTAAACATTTTTTTACTTGAGCATATGAGAAATAATTAAGAGATTTATCTAAACTCGAGTAGTTTCACTTTTTGGGAAACACTCTGTTTTGTTTTGTCTTTCAAAGATTTTATTTATTTGAAAGGGAGAGAGTGTGCTTGCGTGCGTTCGCACAAGCAGAGGGGAGGGGCAGAGGGAGAAGCAGGCTCCCCGCGGAGCAGGGAGCCCAATGTAGGGCTCGATCCCAGGACCCCGAGATCATGACCTGAGCCAAAGACAGACACTCAACAGACTGAGCCACCCAGGTGCCCCGGGAAACACTCATTGTTATAAAAATCTAAGGAGACCTGTATATTAATGGGGACAATAGCTTTTACAGTAGAGAAAGATGGGGTTTTTTATGTGTCTTTTCCCCCCTATTTTTTCTTAGGCACAGACTCTATTAAAAATATATCCCTAATTGAATCAGCTGCTGCTTTCTCTTCTAAGCCATCACCCAAATGCTTGCTGGAGAAAATTGATGTTGTAACAGGGGAAGAAGCAGAGCATAATGTATTAAAGGTCTGTATATCACACGTTGCTTTCTGGCAGCACGTATGTACATGAAGTCAAGTTTCTATAAGCAGGAACCCCTTTAAAAATAAAGGCAGAAGTACAGTTTTCATTAGGATAGAGCTGCTTCAATAAAACTGTGAGGGGCTTCCAAAGACTAAGCCAATAGTTTGTTGTATTCATACATTAGTATGTGTAATTTTCAGGAAGATGAACTATTGGGTTTACAAGCATTCATATTAGTCTTTTAGAAAGAAGACAGCCAGGCATCCTGTCTTAAAACAACTTCAGACCTAATTTTTATACTTTTCATCCCTACTTTTATAATCAGTGCTATCATCCTATGATTGAAAATTTCTACTTACCCTGGACATTTTTAAATGATAAGATGAATAGATTTCAGTTCAAGATAAAAAAAATTCTGTCTTTCTTTGAAAAGTTCTTTTATATAAGTTTTGGATTTCATATAAAGCAAGCTTTTCAGAGATGTAATATTCAGTATCATACATAGGATTTGAATGTTGAGTGGCCTATCAGCCGAGGCACATGAAATGTAATTACTATGACATAATGGTTTTTCAACAAGGTGCAGATTTCCCTTTCTCCATCTGCCTTTACTCCCAAATCTCTCCATTTCTCTTCTCTTCTCCCATGATTTACTGATACATTTACTATACAAGTGTGCTTCCAAGCATAACTCTCAGATCAGATTAAAACAAGGTTAAGTGAAGTAATTCCTAGGGGTGAGGCCCTGGCATGTTGTATTTTTAACGAGTCATCTGGGTGATTCTTGTACACAGTAATATTTATTCTGGTAAGCACTAAATTATAGTACGGTACTCTGTGGTACCACATCCGAGTTCTGATGCTGTATTCCTCAAAAAATTCTGAGCATGCAAATAGTTTCACTAATCCTTACTTTCACATAAGTTACATAGCTCAAATAACATTAAATTTCATTTAAAAGTTGGTACATATATATTGTTAAGTGAAAAAGCACGATGCAGAAAGTATGGTATTCTACCATTTATAGGAAAAAAGGGACATATGTATTGGCATGTATATACATACAAATATCTCTAGAAGGATAAACAAAATATTAGCAACAGCGATCACCTGTTGCAGGGGGTAGAAATTGACAGATGCAGAAGTAGGGTTGGGAAGGACTTTCCGTTTTGTACATCTTTTTTGCTTTTTGATATTTGAACTATTCAAAAATTGCATGTTTTAAAAGTTAAATTTTTAAAGCTGGTTTACAAATCATTAACAGGTTATTCTGGTAAAGTCAGACAAAGAAAAGTGTTAACAGCATAGGAAAGGAATCACTTTGAAAAAAAAATTTTATATATTTGACATTTTAAAAAATTGTCCTTTAGATCAACTGCAAGCTTTTTATATTCAACAAAACAACACAGTCCTGGATTGAAAGGGGCAGAGGAGCTTTGAGGCTGAATGACACAGCGAGCAGTGATTGTGGAACATTCCAGTCAAGACTAAGTAAGGAATCATTTTGTAAAGCAACCCACTCTTTCTCAGAGCAAAATTACCAATAGGTACACATCATTTTCTGGAGATGTGTTATCAAAGAGTCAACACATCAGTCTGTTGAAAACAATGTTGTTTCTAATGTACTGTAGCAGCTTCCTGTTTAGAGCAGCCTCTGGTTCTGCCTCTATCACTGACCAGTGACCTCGTCCAAGGACGAGGTACTTAATCTCTCCCTGCCCTAGTTACATCCGTTTCAAATGGGCAGAATAGTACTCCATGACTTATTGAGCAACTGTGAGAATTCAGTGAGATAATGCACTTAAGCACCTATTAGCAAGCCCAGCACACACCTCAACAGTAATCTCCGTATTGTTTAAAGGCCGTATATAGAATGACATCATTTTTGATGAAAAAATAGTTTTTCTAAAAGAGAATATTTGCCCTGTTGTTTATTCTTGGCATTCTAAACATGACTTTTGGGTTGAGATGAAGGGTCAGTTTCCCAGGAAATAAAGGTGTGTGGTTACTGAATCCTGCGTGTGGTTACTGACATCCAGAGTGATGGTGAGAATCTGGAGCCAATCAAACTGAAACACTCAGAAAGTTTTTGGCATCCGAAAAGATACACTGGGCATTGTTCAGAGGCCCAAACTGAAAGTGAGCCCCCTGGGCAGGGTGGGTAGGTTTACTGGTCAACACTGGGCAGTCAAAGCTGTGGAGGGAACCATTGGTAGAAGTTGGATCCATGTATATGGATGTTTATTGAGCTTCAGATATCAAGCTCAAGAAACCAGTGAGGAATAGAACTCACATGAAAAGAATAGGAACCGTGTCTTCAGTTCTATAACTGGCATACAGGTTTCTAAGTAACCCAACCAAGTATTATTCCCAAGGCAGGTGCTAGTTGTTTTTCTACTCTTGTTCAATGCCACTCTTTCCACTGCCTGCCAAAATTTGTGATGCATGGTGTTTACATTGCTGGGTAACCTGATTGTACATTTTATGTGGTATACCGTGATCACCTTTCCACATCGGTAGTTATCTTTCTTCCCAGTTCTTAATGGGTTCACACTATTATCTTGAATAGCCATGTCATTTTTTAGCTAATTTAGCTAATTCCATTTTTTGAATGCTAAAGCCAAGTTTTCTCCATTGTAAACAATTCTTGGATAAATATTCTTCAGACCACTAGATCCTCAAAAGAGTTCTAAAATTTTAATCATTTTTTAATATTATAGTAAAAAAATAATTCCAGCTTTTAAGCCAAAATTAGTCCTCCAACATAATAAAGCTCAATTTGAAAACCAACTTATAATCAGGTCAAATTACAATGTAATAGTGAAAATACAGTCTGAAAAACCACTGAGAGATTTACTTTGCTTTCAAAAATGGCAAATTCCCCAGAAGGTCAAGTAATCAACTGTTCTGTAGTCTTATATATTCACCTTCCCATTTTAGTTATGCGCAATCAAGGCAGCCTGAGGCTGATCCTCAATAGCAAACTCTGGGCTCAAATGGAGATTCAAAGAGCGAACCACAAAAATTTGCGAATAACAGCTACTGATTTAGAAGACTATAGCATCAAAGTGTTTTTAATTCAGGTAAGTAACAAATTACAGTGATAGAGAATTATCCTACTATATTTCTAGATCGCTGCAATTGCTAAATTGTTTAATTTCATTGTAACCTGCACCACTGGCAAAAAACAAAAAACAAAAAAACAAACCTCAGCCATTCATTGTGGTTGTTTACAGTTTAATATAAGACCTAAATTTTACATGAAATTTACAGATTAACACCAAAATCTATAGTAATCAATTGGTATATGTCCCAAGACATTTGGGACATAAATGTATTGATATATGTATTGATGTATGCTTCAAACCTCCACATTTTTCTTTACCATTATGTGTAATGGTATTACAAATTATGTCAACAATCTTACTAAGTTACCAAAGGGACTGTTGTCAAGACTGGCTCCTAGGAGTCCAGTGGAATACACAGCCCAGTGCCTATACTGAATGCTGAAATTCAGAAGGCTTTGAGATCACTGGAAAGGAACCAGTGAGAAATGGAAAAACACAGGGCTCATAAGTCAAAACAACCAGTCCAACAGCGCATTCCCATTCTGGACATGAGTCAGTCTCCAAGGTAACAGGATGGGAGCACAAGCTTAGCTTTTCCCGGCAGCAGGAATGCTTGACCTCAAACACAAGATCCAGGCACAAAAGAGAGAGATCTGGCAGGGATCAAACCAGAAAAAAGGTTAGGTTTCCCACATGGGCTGAGACCCAGAAGACTGGAGCAGACTGAGTACTCACGTGACTCAGGCAGAAGGTAACAGTACAAGTAAATTAGCTCCCATAGTAATGGAAATGGAAATGGAATGGAAAGTAATGGGAAAAAAAAGTTGCCAAGTGCCCAATGATGAAAAACCAAAGGTTTTATTAACTACCAGTAAGGGCACTGTTAGGTGTAAGTGATGTTGAGTATTGAGATGTTAGAGTAAGATAATGCCCAAATGTTGTTTACCATCGAGGGAGACAATCCTTGATACTCTGCCAGGCTGGATCCCCTGGCTTTGAGCAAGTAAAGCAGCCTGCCTATAGCTGATACTAAGATTGAGACCATTAGCTAAGATGAGATTCTGCTGTTCAGTATCTGACCCACGCTGGCTCCGTAAATTGTAGGATATCTGCTAGAGATAAGCCAGCTAAATGCAAATAAAAATCACCTCAAATTCCATTCCCAGGCATGGTCATTACTAACATTTTTCTTATATTTTAGCATATATATGTGTGCACACATATGTATGTATTTGATCTTCAGGTAGGTTATTTAGATTCTTTAACTTGATTTTACTCATAAGCCAAATAAAGATAATAATATACTTTATAAAGTGGTTGAATAGATTAGAATGCGAATATTTGATTATGAAGTACACATAGGTAACCTTTTCACTCATCAATGAAAATGAGTGTTTTCCTGTCATTAGTTCATTTTTTGAAAATTCTTTTAATAGGCGAAAAGAATTCTATTGTGCACCCTAATTTATTCCATTAATTCCACTTTGTTAAATACTTAGGTAATTTACTGTCTTTCATTATTATAAGTTCTGCAAGAAAGATGTGAGGAATTCTCTGTGTACATACATGTTAATTTTCTTGGGATAAGGTTTTGACTTGTCTTGACAAATTTCTCTTCAGAAAGACTGAGTCAATTTTCATTCTCGCCAGCATTTTCTTATGGTACTTCCTGGGAATTATCATTCTTTTAAGCATTGAGAATTTGTTATTCAAAAAATATATCATTGTGATTTTATTTTTAATTTCTTGTTCTGAATTCCTTGAACGAATATATCTGAATGAATTTGGCAAAAGGCAATATATTGACTAGTGGAAGACATTTAAATTTTAATGTTAGAAAGTCAAGGTGGCAGAGTAGTATTTATATTTCAATTACAAATACTCTTTCAATATTTATTAACTTACTAAGGAAAAATTACAGCTTTGCATATAATGTAAAAAATGAAATTAGGCAAGAGTCAACAATTATTTTCTCAACATCTACTATATAATATTTAGCACAATATGAGGAACAAAAATATTTTATTTAACTTATAGTTATTTCCCCCCAAAGCAATTAAGGGAACTTAAGAACATGCAAATGAAAAAATATAACTCGGGGCACCTGGGTGGCTCAGTCGTTAAGCGTCTGCCTTCGGCTCAGGTCATGATCCCAGGGTCCTGGGATTGAGCCCCGCATCAGGCTCCCTGCTCCGCGGGAAGCCTGCTTCTCCCTCTCCCACTCCCCCTGCTTGTGTTCCCTCTCTCACTGTGTCTCTCTCTGTCAAATGAATAAATAAAATCTTGAAAAAAAAATATATAACTTAAGACCCTTCTCCCAAAAAGTTGGCATGTAGTTTATTCAACCCTCATTTCTTGGCTTTGAAAAGTAAGACAGCTTTCTGGAGGGTTAGCAAGGAGAATAATTTACCTAGATTCTCTGTGAAATTGTGAAAAGATACAAAAATGTAAACCACTGCCATGTTACCTTAAAAGAGCACTGACTTTGATGACAAAGATCTGGGATGCTAGCCCAACCAATTTGCTGACTAGCTAAGCACACTCAAGCAAGTCATTATACCTGTCTGAGCCTTCATCTCCTCATCTGTAGAGGGATGTGGGAAATGAGAATATACTGAATACTTGTGCTGGGTGCTTTTGCTAATGTAAGTGAAATAAATAATTCACTCATGGTTTCATTGTAAGGATTGAATAAAAAAGAGTGTAGTAACCATAATTGTTATACCAGTGTTATTGTCACCATCATTTTTTATATTAACAGCATCCATAAAAGCAGCATAGAAAAGTACTGAGAACAGACTTTTGATGTGTTTCTTTTTTTTTTTTTTTAAGATTTTATTTACTTATTTGTCAGAGGGAGAGAGAGAGACAGAGAGAGCACAAGCAGGGGAGAGCATCAGGCAGAAGGAGAAGCAGTCTCCCCGCTCAGGAAGGAGCCCGATGCGGGACTCAATCCCAGGACCCCGGGATCATGACCTGAGCAGAAGGCAGACACTTAACTGACCGAGCCACCCAGGTGTTCCTTCTGATGTGTTTCTGATACAATATCATAAGGGTGGCTCTGTGGCACAATGGCCGGCACACTGAACTTCTACGATGCAATATTATAGATGGTTCTAATGGGCTCTGCTTTTTCACTGAGCTGTGAGGCTTGCATGGGACATCAAAACACAGTCATGTAAAGGAAAGGTGGTCTTTTTTTTTCATCCACCCTACAATTTTCTACAGTGTAAAACAGTGGAGGAAGGATAGTCTTCAAAGAGAAATTTTAAATCACAGAATTTCATTTCTCAGTTTAAAATGCACAAATTGGGACCTGTTATAAAATTATTCACTTTTGGATTGAATTTGCTTCAAGATGAATGGCTTTTTACTCTTTAATTTTTAGGGTTATTTATATTCTAGAATTATGCCATATAATTCCTTCCTTATTAATAGTGGAAGATTAAAAATTTCTAAAATGTGGCTATTATTAAGTTATTTATACTCCTAAGATTTTATTTATTTATTTATTTTGAGAGAGAGAGAGAGAGAGAGAGAGAGGGCAGGGGAGGGCAGAGGGACAGAGGAAAGAGAATCTTAAGCAGACTCACCGTGAGTGCATGGAGCCCGACATGGGGCTCGATCTCACAACCCTGAGATCACGATCTGAGCTGAAATCAAGAGTCAGCTGCTTAACTGACTGAGCCACCCAGGTGCCCCTATTTATATTCTTAACAACTTAATTTTCCTCGTGCAGGCCAGCGCCCAAGACACAGGATGTCTGTATGCAGCAATACATCATCGGCTCATTGCACTTCGAAGCTTCGATAAACAGAAAGATGTAAATCAAGCCGAAAGCCAGTCAGAACCAAGCCTCCGACAATTAAACTGCGAGAGCTGTGATGAGGAGGAGGAGGATTTGGTCCAAGTCACGAAAAATAGATCAGGTAAATAGCTTTGCTTTTCTTAAGTCAGCGGTTTAAGAAAGAAATCTTCTGCACAATCCTAATATATGAAACAGATTTTTGTAAAGTGGAACTAATCTGTTTAGAGTGGATGGGAATTAGAGTCCTAGCTCTTTGGATCAGAGGAATGGGTTTGTAAATCATTGTCTTCTATCTGTGGCCTTCATTATGATTTTGCCAAAAGTCGTCCCCATTGTGATGCCTGTATGTCATTTGCACATAAACTTAATAAAAATACCATAAAGTCTTACACTGATACACTGAAACTGACCCACTTGTTTCTCTTCACATGTTCTCATTTTCCTATTATTGGCTATAATAGAAGAAATTATAAATATATCATAAAGGTAAAAACACATTACAATGGAGCCCACCAGACAAATCTGGCTTGAAATACTGAAACTCTTATTTATCTCCTTTTTGGAATCTGACTGCTTTATTCTCAAGGACTTTTTTTGCCTAGGGCAAACAGTATTATCTTTTTTATTGTGTCCAGATTCATGAACTGAGCAAGGTTAAAGTAGAACCAGTAGTTAGCAGATTTTCAGGTTTCAGTGCTTGTCCTGATGAGTAGATTTAAAACAAAAACCTATCATTATTTTTGGAGAGAAACATTGTCAAGAAAATAATAAGCCCAGCTCTGTTATATAAATGGTGCCAAGTATATTCAGTAATAGTTTCATTTAGGCCTGAGTTCTGCTCTACAGAGAACTAAGTAACATACTTACAAAGACAGTGTGTTAGCAAGCATTCTATCAGAGTACAAGTGCAAAACTTGATGAAATATCTTCCTTTGCCTAATACTAAAAATGTAATCAAGAAGAAAAATGCACAAAATATGCAGATCAGGATTATAAACTGCTTGACTCAGTGAGCCAGAGAACTAAGTGAATATGATTTTTCTTGTCGTTATTAAACAGATGGTTTCTTATTCTTTAAAATGTGTGAGATGTATAAATAAAATTATCTTTTATAATGTTTATATGGTCAATAATAAAATGGGGTCTATTAGAAAATGGATTGGTATCCATTAGAAATGTTAACTTGAAATAGGATTAAATGGCAAAATTCTCTCATCAACAAAAGTCGCACTTAGGAAATCTATATTTTATTATATTCCATTTTAGGAAAGAGTAATATGCAACTATCCTCATACAAAATGAGAAACAACGAAATAATGCAAAGTAAATGTCAATCATATGAACCCACCATTCCTCTGCCATTTTTCCCTTTTCATTTAGTACTTTCTCCAGGAGGTGTGGCATATAAATGCTAAACTGTTAGGAAAGCAATAAAAAGTCTATTTTTTAAAACTTTGTTGCCCATGAATTAAGGAAGGGTTTAATTATCTGAAATGTCATGTTTAAAATTAGCAACATTTCCAAATGTTACATATAAAATGTATATTCTATATATTGCATTTCCTCACAGTAAGCATATTCATGCATATTCATGTTGAGTTGTGTTCAGTATTAAATCTAATCTGAATATAACATTTTATAATATTTTAAATTTATATCACAGATGCTTCTAGGTGGACCCACAGACAGTCGGTTGCCTGTTCATGAACGCTATCTACTATAAACGTGACAACATCTACAAAAAGATTGGTCATCTTACTGAAAATACTAAGCCATCCTACAAAATGAGAAGATCCTATTCGTTCCTTGAAGAGTTTTTATAGCAAAGGTCATGAAAGATAATTTGGTGCAATTAAGATTTTTCTCTTACATAGTCTAATAATTGCACGGTTTTACATTTTGATTATTGTGGAGAAAATGACAGAATTTAAGAAATACACGGACTTTGGAAGTTCAAAATTTATCATTTTTGAAGAAGCTAATTTAGAATAGAATTTGATAACTAATTTGGACTATTCATCACATTGGTGGATATAATAGTTCAAATAAATTGCTGGATTTCATAAATATCTAACCAAAATATTTTTTCAGTCATACATTGCCTGGTCATAAAACCAATATTTTACAAGATTTCCAGTCATTTCTTCCAAAACGCTATATCTGCATGCTAACATTTCATTAAGTCATGTTTCTCTTCTGGGAAATGTGTATTTTCATTTAACCTTTGGATTTACTACTACTATAAGATTATATATTCATGGTATGAATTCCTTTAAAGATAGTATTGTTCTCGGACCTATATCCATTTCACCTTGTATATGCTTGACTCCAGTTCAGCATCCAATAGTTGTTGAAGGGATGAACAAAATACATTAACTATGTAACAAAACAGTAAGTATACAAAAAGTAAAATATGTTAACTTGTTCTTTGCTTTATGTAATTAGCTTGTCATTAATATTCTAATGGGTGTAGCTGTATAGAGACCTTTTAAAAAAACCAAATATATTCATATAAACCCAAATGAATTTTTTTCTTAAATGCTGTTATTGTGGTAGACTGTAATAATTTCAACATTTGTGCAACAAAGTTTTGATGCTCTTCTTTTGAGATTTGTCTCAGAGACACTTTATGAGTTACACAGAAAAATTAGTGCTTCTAGCCATATTTCATTTTTCAATGCAGTTTGATCGCCCCATGACTTCAAAATGACTTTTGATCATGATTCCTAAATATTCCCTTGTTAGAGGCATCTTAGTCTTCTCAGGGTGTCATAACAAAATACCACACTGTGCAGCAGTTATTTTCACAGTTCTAGAGGCTGAGAAGTTGAAGATCAAAGGGTCAACAAAATAGGCTTATTCTGAGGCCCCTGCTCATGGTTGTAGGCTGCTGTCATTGCCTCGCATGCTCACAGGACCTCTTTGTGGGAGCACAGGCAGAGAGAGAGCAAGCTCCCTAGTGTCTCATCCCATAAGGGTGCTAATCCCATTAGACCAGGGCCCTGCCCCCTTAAACTTATCTAACCCTAATTACCCCCCAAAGCCCCATCTCCAAATTCCATCACATTGGAGGTCAGGGCTTCAACATATACATTTGGAGGAGAACATAAACATTCAGTCCATAACTAGGGAATAGGATTTATAATTCCAAAATGATTTCTGAAAATTTTTTGAACAATGACAACATATTTGGAATAATGGGTTTAACTTCACTAAATGCTACTTTGAAGAACAATATTCATTTGGATATATACATATGAATACACATTTTTTAAAGTTACATTATTTTGCTACAGTACCTTTTATAGTAATAAAAGCAATTATTTAGATATAGATATATAGATTCATACGTGCATACATACAGTATGTATGTATGGTTTGGCATGTGAAAGTTCAATTAATTCTTTTAGACTTTAATTTGGTTAGTATATAAATTGTTCAGAGTTTTGCTCTTTCCCTATAACTTAGTAAAAGCTACTAAGAGAGGCTTATTCATTCTAGTGACTATAGAAGAAATATAGCACCCTTCTAAATTAAGCAATGACTCAGGAAATGGAAAAGAAAAATTAATGTGAGAGAGGAATAGAGAAGAGGTAGAGAGAAGGGGGAAAAAATCAAAGAATAGCTCTAGCATAAAAGGAAGAATAAAAACAATGAGAAAACAGAAGTTTAAAGTTGGTTGGGTTTTTTAACCCCAAAAAATGCCTCTGATACAGAACACAGAGGAAAATTTTCTTTAGAGGCGAAAATAAACAGGAAGACATCTGGAGAAGAAATTAAAGAATTGGTTCTCTTTTCCTGTGAGATCTTAGCTGATACGGGAACATTGTGATTGCACTAAATTGTTAAAGTAAAGCAGAGAACAGAGATCTTTATCTTCCTGACATGTTCATTCTTGTGCTCACTTTAGGGTGGAGATAAAGCAATATTTCTCAATGCCTTAAATATTTTAATATCATTTGAATTCATTCATTCTTTCTTTGATTTTCCTTGTCCTTCTCTTCATATACCAAGCAAAAAAAACTAGACTACTTCAATTACTTATCTACACATTAATGTCAGTGCAACAGAATAAAAAATAGAATATCAGGAAGGCAGAGAGATAAAGTGAAAATTTCTGGATTATGACATGGTTACCAATGCAGGAACAGGATATTTAGCTTATGACTTTCAAACCATTTTCTATCCACTCTACTATTCCTTCTTACAATTTTTATGCAAATATTTAGTAATATTTAGGAGGGGATAATAGAAGTAGAAACATCTTATAGTTTCTCTTTGTCATATATCTTGATCTAACCTTCTTTTTGGCTTTTCTACATATGTTGACCTTTCTGTAAGGTGAAGAGATCATCATACAATGATAATCATTTTCATAAGTTATTAGGTAGATGATTTCAAAGCATACAAATTAGATTTTGATAGGAGCTGCTTTTTGTCAGTGTGCCTGGGTGGCTCAGGCATTAAGCGTCTGCCTTGGGCTCAGGTCATGATCCCAGGGTCCTGGGATCGAGCCTCGCATCAGCAAGCCTGCTTCACCCTCTCCTACTACCCCCTGCTTGTGTTCCCTCTCTCACTGTGTCTCTCTCTGTCAAATAAATAAATAAAATCTTTAAAGAAAAAAGGAGCTGCTTTTGTCACAATTTACTTAAATATTTCCCAAATATCTAGATATATATTTAATATATCTAATTATATATCTTATACTCAAGTAACCTTAACATTCTTCTCTTTCAACAAGACTTTAGACTCTACCAAGTTATTCAGCTTAATTATGGACCATCAGAATGTTCTCTCGTAAAATACTATTTTACATCCATTACTGTCAAAGCCAGGAATCCTTAGACCTCAAGGATTAATACCTTATACAAGTCTTGGAATATGTGGATGTCATTTAAAAAAAAGGGGTGTGTGTATCTTTCATAGAGTCAGAATGTACATGAAATGGGTTGGAAGGATACATCTTAACCTTTGTAAATCCTCAAGTTATGAATATCACAATGATATATAATTTTTCCCATAAAACGTTGAGAACAAATAAGCTTGAGATGTAGTTACCAGGTGGTTGGGTAAGCTCACTCACTAGAAAAGTATATCAGCCCTGCCAGAGATGGGGTTTGAGTTTTTGAAACTCAGTAACATCACAGATTATTTTAGTAGTTTGAGGGTTTTGAAATTCATATTAAATCCATGAATGCAAGCACTTCTGTTTGTTTTGCAACGGATAAATCACACCCACAGTACTGCATGATTTTTGACATCAGACTTGGGAGTGAACAAACTGGAATACATGAACACATTTAAAGTTTCTAAGAGGATACTTGCAAACTGTGGCACTGGAGAAGCTATTGAAATAACTGGCAAATGTGTAGCCTAATAAAGATTTGATGTAATAGTTTTCAAACAATTGGAAGTTTGCCAAGACTTAATTTCTGTGAAACTAGTCGCTATAAAAGACGATTTCAGTGAAATTACCTTAAATTGTATCTTTTTAATTTCTAATAAGGTTGAGTATCTGTCAGGTATTTATTCTCTGCTTGTTTCTTCTAAGAAATTCCTGTCAAAGCTAAGCATGCCATTTTCCCATTTTAGTGGCTTCTTAGCATATACAGGATAAAATCCAAGCTCCTAAGCATGACATTTTCCGTGTCTTTCCCCTGTCTGCCTCCCTAGCCTCACTTCCCACTGTGGCCTGCCTCCCTCTAAATTCTCTAGCAATTCAGAACCGCTATTTCATTGCTCCATACTTTTGCTCATGCTGTTTTCTCTGTGGAAATCCTTAGGATAACAAGGTGTTGGAAGGGTGAGAAGAGAAAGGATCTTGAGGATGTTCAAGTTATACACGAGTAACTCACACCCCACAGAAGTTAAGAGATGTGCTTAAGTTTCCATTGCAAGTCACTACTAGCACCTGCTGTAAGGCAAAGTTCCTGACCAGAAGGGATCAGTGACCTACTAAAAGTAGACATCAGCCTTCATTGTGTTATTTCCTATTCTAATATACTCTCTGGCACACAGTAGGGACTCCATAAATATTCAGTGAACCCATGAATGAATGTTGGTGGTGGTGGATAGCTAAAAAGGAAGAGTCCGGATTCAGGATCAATTTGGGCTTTGAAAGAACCTTGGTATCACTCTAGTTCAACACCCTCATTTTATAGATGAGGAATCCGCGGCCCAGAAACCTGAAGTGACCTGCCGGAAGTCCACAGGCTAGTTATTGATAATGCTACGACTAGAAAGAAGCAAAGAGGGCACCCAAGCAAGTGGATGTAAGGAGGAGGAAGGATGAACAGTAGGACGTGGATTGCCATTTGATTCTCCCCTTGTAAGAAGGGCGTTTTCTCCTACTTCCATTACTACTAAGTCAACCCAGGGCCATGTGTAACTACTCCAACAGCACCAAGTCTCCTTCCTCCTCTTGCCTCCCAATCCGCTCAACAGTCCCAAGACAGATAAAGTCATTACTGTTTTCAGGACTCACTTCTTTCCAGTTAAGAGCCTTCAAAAGTCTAACCACTGCTTATAGAATGAAGTCCAAAATTACTAACATTCCTACCTTTCTCTATTGACCTATCTACTTTTTCCATTTTACCTCCCCATCTAGAAATGCTCCACTTGGCCAGATTCCTCTACCCATTATCCTCTAATTTCCTCAAAGGCTACCCGTCTTTCTCTCCCTGGGGTGATAGATTTTTGGTTGTCCGCAGGGGCTATAACTTGTGCAGTCCCACAAGGCACCATGTTTAGATGGGCCAGGCACTCGGCTTACTGCTGTCTTGCAATTCTTAATACTTTCTGAGCAAGAAGCTCTGAATTTTCATTTTGCTCTAGGCCACGCAAACTGTGCAGATGGTCCTTGGTCAGTCTCCTTGGCCCCCAGCCCAGCGTTGGTCATATCGGCCATCCGACTAGATTTGGTTGAATGAAAGAGTAAAGAATTTAGTCTTGTGCGCAATAATGAAAGGGTCTAGTTTTATACGAGCCGATAAAGTGCAATAATGAAACCCAAGCGAGGAAGTGCCCAGAAGCACCTGCTCTCCCGCCTGGGCACTCGAAACCCCACCCGTTGCCCCCGCTGCCCCCGCGCCGCTTCAGACCGGTTCTAGCTGGATTCCTAAGGCAGCTCAATCGCCAAATAGAATTCCAGCCCTTCCTCCGGCCGCAGCCAATCCCCACAGCTCATCGGGCTCCGATACCGCTGCTGGCTCTGATTGGCCCACAGAGTTGGGGGCGGGCGGGTGGGTTTGGTGCCCACCCAGGGAAGGGGGTGGAGCAGGAGGTGGGCCCCCGGGGCGGCGAAGCGGCCACTGCGCAGGCGTGGATGGAAACGGCTACACAAACAAGCAAAACCCACCACCCTGAGGCCTCCGGCTCTTCCCCGCCCACCTTTCCCGGGCTGCGGCTCTCCAGCTTCCCCGTCGCCCGGCTTTCTCCGCCCCCGTCAACGTCTGGGCACGTCCCCCTCGCGGCGCGGGCCACGCACGGCGGTGCACTTAACCTCTCCCGGTCCGGCGCGGAGTTAGAGGCCCGGGCGGCGCGGGTGGTGCGCACTGCTGGTGGCGGGGAGCCGAGGCGGGAGCTCGGGCCTGCAGCCCCCGCCGGGCGGAGGATGACTTGCTACCGAGGCTTCCTGCTGGGCAGCTGTCGGCGTGTGGCGGGCGGCCGGGCAGCGGTGCTGAGGGGGCCGGGCGCGGGAGGCCCCGCCGCGCGGCCGCGGCTCTGCGGTGACGGCGGCGGCCGGCGGCACCTGGGGCAGGGTCAGCCGCGCGAGCTGGCGGGCTGTGGCAGCCGCCCCGACGGCGGCTTCCGCCCGTCGCGGGTGGTGGTGGTGGCCAAAACCACCCGGTACGAGTTCGAGCAGCAGCGGTACCGTTACGCGGAGCTCTCCGAGGAGGATCTGAAGCAGCTGGTGGGTCCCGGCGGCACCCCCCTCCCGCCCTGTTGTGTGTGGGCTCGGCCCCCGTTCACTCCCAGGCTCGGCCCCGGCTTTGTGGTGTGGCGAGAGCTCTCAAAAAGGGGACCACCCTTTTTCCCCGGCGCCCTAGATGCCCTGCCTTCCCAGCTCGATGCTCTCCACTCCCTCTGGCTTCGCGCGTAGACCCCCCCCCCCCCCCCGCCCTCTGTGTGTGTCGAGAGAGAGAGGGAGAGGGTCACTGTTACTGCAGAGACCCCCCAAGACGGGGGAGGAAGACTTGGATGGGGGTACAGGAGCTCCCAGTGGGAAGGGTTTAGGGATTCATTTGTGCCCTCGCCAGCACCACCCCCTATTCTCCCATTTGGGAATAGCAACAACAGCCCCGAGAAAGGTGGGCGGGTGGCTGAGGTCTGGACGCTCTGGAAAGAGCTCCCCAAGCCTTCCCCAAGATGGGGCCCCGGGGCGTCGCTGCGGGGAGGTGGAAGAGAGGGCTAAGGTACCACGGACACACCCCCTTTTACTCTGCAGGACTGTCAGGCCTGGGATACTCCGGAAAGCCGGTCTGGGTGAACCTTTTCCGTGATGGAACGTGGTCGTCAGACAAGGTTCTAGCAGTTTGTTTTAAAAGCACACGTGTTTTGAGTTCAGGGGATAGCGAGGGAGAAAATCTGAATTTGAGTATATGTTATTAAGTAGAAAGGGCAAGATAGAGGGCAGGTAAACTTGGTAATTATGAAATAAAAACCCTACGTCCATAACGTATTATTTCCACAATAGACTCTATTTAGTACAGATATTAATATCTTTCCATAAGTATATAAATCCATCTGAGAAAAAAACCCGAATATCTCTCTTCCCTCTCCTTTTGAGACTTCTGATCCCATGCTCCCTGCCCACCAACTTTAGGAAGAGGAGAGTGAAGATGCTACCATGAACAATACGGAACTCTCTCATTGTTGATACTGTGCACGAAAAAGCTTTGGAATTACATGCCTATAACCAAATCTTGTAGGATTCTGTACAGGAGTAGACAGCCTGTTTTAAACTTCTGGTATGGTTTGTATTATTCAGATTTGTTTGTAATGTTTTGTACAGGTATCAAAATCAAGTTGTAAATCATGTCTGCATAAGTACTGAATCTGTTATTAGCATTAAACTTTTTTTTTTTTTAATTTATTTGACAGAGAGGTACAGCCAGAGAGCACAAGCAGAGGGAATGGCAGAGGGAGAGGGAGAAGCAGGCTCTGCACTGAGCAGGGAGCCTGATGCGGGGGCTCCATCCCAGGCCCCTGGGATCATGACCTGAGCCGAAGGGAGTTGAGCCTTTAACCATCTGAGCCACCCCAGAGCCCCAGCATTAAACTTCTTGATTCTTTAACGAGTTAATTGAGGGCCCCTGCTTTCGTTAGATGGAAGTGCTAGGTACAGGTTTGTTTTCTCTCCTTTCCTTTAGTGTTTGAAGACGTAGCAATTTATAGAAAACAGTTGTGTCATTTAATAAGAGTAAATCAATCAGTTTGAGTAGGAAATTGGAGTAGTTTTGTCAGTCGTTTTGTCAGTGTCAGTGAATTTGGGGGTGAGGCAGGGAATAATAATGTCAGAAGCAAGCACATTGTTTCTGTGTTGGGAAAGAGGTGTGTTCCTTGGATTGTACTCAGTTTTGCAAGATCTTTTTGGAAATTGTCAAATATATGTATAAATATGTTCTTTATACAATTTTATGAAAATCCTCTCACAACAGTTTAAAGTAGTACACTCTGTTGGCCTATTTGGAGTGTGGGATTGGGGGTTAGGGTCTTGGGGTCCTAGGCCCAATTCTGTGTGGTTAACTTCCTAGGGGTCTTTTTAACATCTGTGGGCCTCATGTGTGACAATGATACCTTTTTGTTGTACTGTCAGGTTTTCAAACTTTTGCCTAGTTTAGTATGTGAAATAGTGTTGGACTAGATAGCCTCCAAGGCCTTTTTTAGTGCCGGCGTTTTGAAACCTTGGATAACTTTTCCAAGGCCTCAAGAAAATGTGTGCGCTCTGCATTAGATTAACTCTGGGACCTCTGAACTAGATTGCCACTAACCAAAATTTTTAAAATGTAGGCAAATCAGTAAGTCTTTAGAAATTGAACTACCTAGTGTACCCGCTCTGAGTATCTAAAAAGAATCTCTAATAGGTAAATATTTGTCTTTGGCTAGGTAATGCTGTTTGGGATAAGAAAACTTTGAGTTAAAACTTGTGTACTATAGAACACATGGTTTTGTAATTGCAAGGCAGTGAAACAGTTGTCATTTCAATTACATTTTATTGCATTAGCTCCTTACTGATTTTTGTTTTACCATTTATATTAAAGCCAGTATTCAGAATGGAATAGCATTAGGTAGAGTCCAAGCCAAAGAATACTGAGCTGTGTAAAGTTGTTTTAAAATGGGATTCTGTGGTAGGACTGATAAGCTGGTTAATATTGTTTGCTCTATTGCTGGGGTAAAAGATTCTAAGATATATGAATCATGTGAACTGGGAATAAAAGAAAGTGGCCATGTGCTTACTTTGTGTCTTTGGCACCGTACCTCTTGTGTCTATAGTGTCATGGTAACCTGAAGTTTTAGATCAGAGGGTTCTTTTTTGTTGTGGAGGTGGTGGTTTTCTTTCAGAATAGATCTCTGTTAGGTTATTTGTTAAAATGCAAATAGAAGATGAAGGATGGAGTGTCAGTGTAATTTATACCCTCAACCCTCATGGTTTTCTCACTTTGTAGAAACTTAAACAAATGGAAGAAATATTTCTTAGTTGTTAAAGCATGTACAGAGTAGGTTTCTATCTTTCAAAGTCGGTCAAAGTCTGACTTCCAATGACTTTCATATTGGTTGCATTGCTTTACTTTTAAATCTTGCAGTGATGTTTCCTGTGAATTTCTAGGAAGGTACCTTCGTAGGTACCTTACCTCTACTGGCTCATTACCTTGCAAGGGCTAATTAAACTGTTATTACGATTTACCTACATCATAAGAGATGCAGCTGTTGGCAGATGTGGGATTTTTATTAATAGGGCCCATGGCACTCAACAAATCAGATCTTTAGGTGAATCAAAGCTGATTGGAAGTGGTTTTGACATTGTAAACATGCTTATTGGACAAAGAGTAGGTTTTATTTAAAAATAGTATATACCAAATAAGACATGAACTGTTTCCATTCTTCTCTCCCTCCACCCCAACCTCAGAAGCAACCTTCTTTAGTGGTTGCCATTTTTAGTTTTTTTTTTATTATCTTTATAATGGGATAGAATAATTTCATTTAGCCGTCCCTCTGTTACTGGATTAAATTATTCCTAGTTATTGCCTTCTTAGCATATTTCGGAGATGTAGCACCTTGAATTTTGTTTCCCTTACGTTGTATCCTGAAAATGATGGTGTAGCTTAGGTTATAGTTCTTGGACAGATACTTTTGCCACTGGTGGGCAGTGAGTGTAGTGTTTATGAGTATTTATCAAATTAATATCTGGAGTACTTCCAGGGCCTTCTAACAGAATCTCACTCCTTTCAAATCTTTCAGATACAGGCACAGAGTGGTCTATCTAAAGTGAACGTCTGGCCATTTTATTCCTCCGCTTAGAACTTCTCAAAAGTGCCCTCTCCATAACCTGTAGAATTACCTAGAAAATTTTTTAAAATGAGGATGCCTAAACCTTAGCACCCCAAGATTCTGATTCAGTTTGGAGACTCCAGGTTCTGCCTTTCTGAACCACACCCTTAAGTTTGCTAGCTCTGTCCAGAGATCTGCATTTTTAACAAGCTCTCTAGGTTTACAAGTGGTCCCCAGATCACACTTTGAGAAACACTGCTGTATGGGAACCTTTATGATCCTTACTTAGTATGCCAAACAAGGCCCTTCATGAACTGGCTCCTGTCTACCTCTTGAGCTTCATTTCTGATCAATTTTTGTCTTGAGCTTCATTTTCCATTAATTCCAGACTGCTTTTATTTTCGTTAAGTGGTGTGCTGATTTAATTTTATTTATTTACGGATCAGTAGTGCATTTAAAATGGTTCAAAATGTAAAAGATACAGAAGGGTGTGCAATGAAAAGTCTTTCTCTTATTCTTGTCACTGGGCACACAGTTTTTGTCCCTGGAAGTAGCCAGTGTTAGCAGTTTCTTGTTTTTCCTTCCAGAAATAATCTATACATACAAATCAGCCCAGTGAAATATTTTTCTTTGTTCCATCCCTTTTTACTTAGTGATAACATACTGTTTAAGCTATTCTGCACCTTGTTCTTTCTTTAAAATAGTACGTATAGTATTCCATTGTGTGCGTGTCTTAATTTATTAAAAGTCTATAATGAATAACAGTTGTGTTAATTTATTTGTGTATGAATCAAGCTTGAAGATAAATACCTAAAGGTAGAATTGCTGAGTCAAAAGGCATGTGCATTTGAATTGCTTCCCTTAGAGGCTGTACCAATGTATATCTTCACCGGCAGTGGATGACAGGTGCTCCCCCCCCCCATAAGCAATTTATCACATTTTGCGGTCTTACCAAGCTGGTAGGTGAAAAATGGTATTTCAGGATTGTTTGATTTGCGTCTGCGGCCCCTCCTTCCTCTAGCCAATTCCTAGCCTGCCTTTGAGGTCAAGCTCCAAACCTTACTTCCACAGGAAGCCTTCCTTGGTAACCTTGCTGTGCCCCTCTCTGGCTACCAGGGTTGTGTGAGGTGTTCTACATTGTATCTTCCTAATAATTAACATATTTGAGCTTTCCACCTTGGAGTATAATCTGATTATTTTCTTCTCTAGACTTGAGGGCAAGGACCTCATCTTATTCATCATCCTCTCTACCTTCCCATTGCTGCCGAAAAGATTTCTGACTTTTAAAAATCAGTTTTAGTTCTTTTCTCCTGGAGGCTTCCAGTCCAGAGCCTTATTTCCAGCTATCATTCTTCCAAAAGATTTTAGCCGTTGAAAGCTTAAGGTTGAGGTTACCAACATGAGTTCCCCAAGAGTTCCATG